TCCTCTTGCCGTTGGAGTTGGTTCATGATGCGCTGCATCATGTCGTCGGCCGCCGGAGTCGCAGCGACTGGTCCCTGCGCCGGTGCGTCGTCGGTTTGAGAGTCGTCAGGAGGCATACTGATTTCGTTAACGCTACTTCGTAAGGCCCCACGGTGGGCGCCAAATGTTGAATCTGAGTTTTGTACGGTCGATTGACTAGAAAACTAAACTCGATTTGTGGGTTCTTCGAAGGCGTTTTATTAATCAGAGTTGATATCAAGAGGAGATTACAAAAAGATTCGAGAAAAGAACAAAGGTCGGAGCTTTACGAAAGTCCGACCAGATTACAAGAAGGTTCGATTGATCGTAAAACCCTAAACCTTGCCGTCAGAGTTCTTGTAGTAATTTGCGGATGCCATTCTCTTTCCCCCTCTTCGTCCTTTTATACTCCCAGTTCTTTTTCCTTGCTTCGTTCGCCCTAAAGCTCGTCTTAGAGGCCCAAGATCGAGCTCGTGCTTAATGGGCTTTCGAGCTAACAATTACTCGTTAACCCGGTTTAAATCGTCCTCATCCCGGTTATGTAATTGAACCGGTCGTTCGGACTTCTAGTTTGACATTTCTTCCAATTGGACTTCGGTCGAACTTTAGATGGGCCGAAGACTGTCATTCGATGGGCCTTGGGGAGAGATGATCAATCCTCCTCCAACAGTGGTACTTTGGCAGAAGCTAGACTCGCTCTCCAGAGACAAACGCTGCCTATCTAGACCAGTCAGCTTCAGCTCTGGAGAGTAACTTATCGTCTGGACTCTGGAAACTCTTCAAGCCTTTTCGTTTGATCCATGTGCTGGTCACTGGCTTCGGATGATACCAGATTGGAGTACCTCAGCAGACATCTTATGATAGAATGCAGCAAGTGAGCAAACTAGTGCACATAAGACTATAAGAGGACCGATAGGATCATGACAACATTTGCATCAAAGCTAATATGGTGTTCATGAGGGTCTGAATATGTGGGTGATACTGTAGTAAATGGTAGATAAGCTGTAAGAAGTAGTAGTCTTCTTGAGTAAAAGTTTCCAAAAATATTAGAAGTTGCAGTTGACATGATAACCCTAGTTTGAAGAGTTAGATAGATTGATAAATCTTCTAGCCTTTATTGCAGGTTCTATAAATAGTGGAAAGATAAAAGTTTCATATATTCTGATATATAATTGTAAATAGTTTTCAGTTTAATTTTCCTGAATCATGGTTGGTGGAATATGCTAAGGAAATTAATAAAGTCTTTTAGTGATCTGTTTTATTTTTATTTAGTAGTCTGCAGCTTATATGGATTCTCCACTGAGTTTGTATAACCTTGGTATGCTTTCTTATTGAAGATGGACTCTTCATAGAATTTACTGAATTGATTAGGTTCTCTCTGGAAACCATGTATTAGAGATCATGAGCAAAGAGTATTTCGAATACGAATGATCTCTTATTTCTCAACTTACAAGATGAGTTCGGTACAAGATATATATACACTTGACTAATCTCGTAAACCGAATAAAATCAAATCATAATTTCTAACCTAACCAAACCAGACTAAACCAGGCTCTATACATTAATATTCTTCCTCAAGATGAAGGTGTGTAAAGATTGAGAACACCCATCTTGCTTATGATGTCTCGAAATGGGGCTGGATATAATTCCTTAGACAACACGTCCACTAGTTGATTATTAGTAAGAACATACATCGTCTTCAAGATGCCACGGTCAATAGCTTCTCTCACCTTATGGAAATCAAACTCCACATGTTTGGTTCGCTCATAAAAAACAAAGTTTGTAGCAATATACAGAGCAACTGTCTTGTCACAATATAAGTAAGCTGGAGGAGTAAACGGAACTCGAAGAGACTTAAGAAACGTGGAGTATTACTGAATTGCCTCCAGGCAAGACTGCAATAGGATGTAAGTGGCTTCATACGGTGAAGTTTAATCATGATGGTACAGTTGAAAGAGTAAAGTCACGGGTTGTTGGAAAAGGATATACACAGCAGGAGGGCATTGCTTTCCTTGACACGTTCTCTCCTGTAGCTAACTACAGTCTGTTTGATTTTTGCTTTGGCTGCTAAATTGAATTAGCATTTACATCAGTTGGATGTTTCAAATGCTTTTCTCAATGGCGATTTAGATGAAGAAATATATATGAAGCTTCCACCAAGGTATACTGATATTGAGGGGGAACAAATCTCACCAACTGCAGTGTGTAAACTTCAAAAGTCCATTTATGATTTGAAGCAAGCATCGCGTCAGTGGTTCTTGAAGTTTTCTGCAATTTTGTTGAGTTTTGGTTTTGAGAAATGTCATGGGGATCACATTCTTTTCATCAAAGAATTTGCAGGGAATTTCTTGATAATAAGTGTGTATGTAGATGACATACTCATTGCGAGTACATCTCTGGATGGAGTGAGTGAGTTGATCAGCAAATTGAGTGCTGCTTTCAAGCTACGTGATTTGGGAATATCGAAGTATTTTCTTGGCATTGAGATTGCAAGAACTACTCAAGGTATTTTTCATTATGCCAGAGGAAGTATGAGTTGGATTAATTGGAAGAATCGGGTTCTCTGATTGTAAACCTTCTTCTATACCTATGGAACCTATTCAGAAATTGTCTAAGGAGGATGGAGTTTTGTTAGAAGGTGTTAAGCAGTATCGCAGATTGGTTGGGAAGCTCCAGTATCTTACTAAACCAGACTCTATACATTAATAGCAAGTGGCAGTAAATTTGTAAATTAAATCCCCAACAGTTGCTCACATGGACCCATGAACTTTAGCTGGAGCAGCCATGAACTTTCCCTAATCTTTTGAGACAGCGTTGAGATAATACCTCTTGTATCTTGGCTCATGTCACTGATCTCTCTCTCTGTCCCGTCTTAGTTATTAGGGCTTTTAGTACATCTTATGTTTGACACAAACTGAGTTATGACATCCATCTATACTGATTATCTTGATTTAGACCAAATGATGCATTAGCTACTGCTAGTTTAATGTATTTTGATGTTGCAAAGTAGGGGAGATATATCCATTCGCACCACACCAGTCTCATTCTGAAAATTACACGAAGACTATAAAAGCCTATCTGAAAATGATTTGTCTTCTTCTTTTGTTTGTGCCACTAGGCACTAGTTTCCATGTTGCTAGTACGAACAGATAGTGGTCTCTCCTTAATCCCTTTCTGAAAATGATTAACTTTGCTTTTTTGCTATGTTTCGCTTGGGATGCCATGTGATACTCGTGCATGCGTTGGTTGACATTCTTGATTTGATAGCCTTCATACGTCGTGATTATTAATGTGGAATAAAGAAAGAGCATCAAGATGTGAGATAGATTAAAGAAAGACCATCAAATTGTTGACAGAGTTTTTCCATTTTTTTATTTGAATGTTTCTGGATTATCTCAACTGAGCCTCTAATGATTGGAGTTTTTAGTCCAGCAAGAGAGCTTTGATTAAATCTCTATGTTACTATTTATAACATTCTTTTTTAGTGATACCATTGGATCTTTCTTTGTGCCTTGTAGATGGTTCTTCCTCTACTCTGTTTTGCTCCTTAGGCTAATGATAGATAATTACAAGATTAGTCCTTAGTTAAGTACTAGTTTTGACCACTGCAAAGTCCTTTGTTAACATCATATTGTTGCACTTCTCTCACAGACTATGGCATATTACAACAATATGATTAATACTATTTTACCTGTAAATCACATTCTTGTGTTGTTAACCAATAGAATGTTTTTGTTTATCACAGTTAGCACATTGTTAAAATGGAGCTTTCAGTTATGGTCTCATACCATGTGTGCCTTGCTTGATGTATTACAAGTATTCCTCAAGGTAGCTTTTAGGTTTGACTATTACCCACTCACTTGGGTGGATTTGTTTGACCTTATTATGGGTTGGGGTCCATATAACTTTCAAGAGAAATAGAGCTGATTTCTTTAAGACTAATAATCCTTAATATACTTCTTACCCTGTTACCCACAATGCTTACCATGGGTCAGTTTTTGCCTTTTTGGGCATATAGATGTGTTATTGTGGATGGATTTGTGACTGATTAGAGAAACATCATTGTAGTCTTTATTTTGCCTTGTTCATGCAAAACACTGGTGTCATTGAGCTTCATTGAAACCATTTCTTTTCAAATTAAACTTCAAAAGTAGTGGTTACTCAGTCGTCTTCTCTGTGTTTCTGACTTTTCAAATTTATCAAACTTTCCTTCGTAGATGACGGCTTCAGTTATTAGCCTTGGCTGTGAATATTGCTATTTGTAAATAGTTCATATACCACCCATAACACAGAAAAATCTGATGAACTTATGATGCCACAGAAAGCTTAAAATATATTCTCTCTACATTTTAAGCTTAAAGGCAAAAGAAAAATAAACAAAAAAGCTCCATTGTATTTCACTTTTGTAATCCTACTGGCGAGGGACATAAACTGTGTTTCAATCTTGTTGAAGACTAAAATCTATAAACTATCTGTTTATTGGCACATACTCTAGCTACTTTCTCTAAAAGTGTTGACTCTTGCTTCAGGTTCTAGAGGAACAACTATGACGTCTATGCTCTCCGTTGGTGTTGCTGCAACCTGATCAGCTTCATCACAGTCTCCTAAGATCTTTTGGCATGTCTCAACCAGACAGTGTCTACATTTCGGACAAGTCATATGTTGTGTAAGCCACTTGTCAATACAACGAACGTGGAACCCATGGTTACACGTTGGAAGCATCCTTATCTGTTCTCCAGCTACGAAATCAGACAAGCAAATGACACACTCCTCGCCGACCCCTGACGAGTTCATCTCAGGTGAGTAAGTCACTACCGGGAACATCTTGAGAGCTTTCTTCTTGATGCCTTTGTTTGCTGCTGAGCCTCGTGGTGTGGACGGGCTTGAGATGGGTTCAGAGATCATGAAACTAGAGGAACGTCTAAATGCGCAACGGATTATGTAATGCAACCCTAGTGAGCAGATGATACCGCAGACAAGGATGGAGAGAAGCAGGAGAATGTTGCCGCTCAAGTTGTTCTTGTCAGGTCCTTGAGCTTGTTGTTGTTGAATGTTGTGTTGGAAAGGAAGTTGTTGAAGCAGTTTTCTTGAGAGGAAGCTGTTGATGGAATGTTCTTGGAAGACTTGAGATGAAGAAGGTGAGTGATCTGAAGACATCTTTACTCTTTTTTTTTTTCTTTTTGCTTTGGTTTCTCTTTTGATGTTTTGCTCTGTTTTGTTCCCTTGAATGATTGAAGTTGTTGTTTATATATAGCTTTGATGATACTTAATTAGTGGAGGTTATATTTTAGAGATAATTAATTGTTGGTTGTGGAAAGTTCCTTCTCTATCTCTTGAAATGAGATGAGGACTTTGGGACCCAGGAGATGCTTATCCAATTCCATGAGTCCCCATGTGTACAGTTTGTGCCTCCGTCCATATCTTTTCCAATTACAAAATGCTTTTGTAGGGACAATCACATAGTTTTAGAAATACAACAATTGATATCTTATTATTATATGATTCTTGCATTAATCAAGAGAAGTTGTTGTAGCTCTATTATGATGGTGTAGAAAGTTGTACAGAAGTGTTGTGTTTTGTTGCTTTTTTACAAATTCTCTGCATTATTGTGCTTCGCTTTCCATGTGTTTTTGTGTCTCATCTTCATAATTCTCTCTATATATAAAAAATATCAAATAAAAAATATTTAATAAATTATATAAAGCTTATTGGACATATTTTATTTTCTTGAGTAAATTTCCTGATTTGGAATGATGCAACTAAAGTCAGTGAAAATTCTATATATGTACGAATAGAATTACGATTGCTTATAGTGGACAATAAAAAGATAGATCTATGTTGGTTGGTACAATCAGTCAAAGCAGTGTTCTTCATATCTCTTTACTCTTTACAGGTAATATATGCAAAATCATTTTTGATACTGTAATGATTTTCACGAATCTAAACGATAAGCTTGTCTGCATATATTTGAAAGCTTTTCTGAATTATTTAGTTATATTAATATGTATTTGTTCTCCAAAAAGACTAGGAAATAAAACAGATGTAATCTGCTCTATAGCCCCTTTTCGATTCTACTCCACAAACGTTATCGTCTGGATTTTGGTTTTGTCTTTTGCGTCGTCATAATCTTCCCTAACCTTAATCTATGGTGCCATGTTTAGTTGCTTTTAACGAATTTTTCATTTCATGTTTTTATTTAGTTATATAAACTCAAACACAATTCTCCAACCTCTAGAGAGTCATCGATTCTATTGATTTGTCGAACTTGAATTCAATTTTTACCATCCATAACTTGATTTTTAAGTATATGAAAACGGATTTGATCAATATATATATATATATATATATATATATGAAAATTGATATTTGATACGATAATTCATTTGCAGTACATATTAAGAAGTTAAAAGCTTTATCAACTTTGATGGGATTCATTTCCATCTCCAAAATTGAAGTAATATGTATAAATCATTTAATTTTTAAACTACTAAAAATATATGTATTGGCATTTAGTCTCTAATTTAACGGTTTTAAATCTTATAAATATCAAGATCAGAAAAATCATATGCCAATAAATATTCCTCTTAGAGTGAGTATTCATATTTTTCTAACTAAAAAGGCGCTTTAGTTGAATATTCAATTCTAGACAGCGACTCTTGGAGATAGATACAACTGAAATATGTGGTCGTGGACATGGATTAGAGCACCCCCAAGTGGGATATTAACTTTCTAACCTTGCTTTCTCAAATTTTATTTGCCTCTTAGAGTATTTTAATGAGTGACTGATGAGAAAGTTATGAGATATAGATTCATCTGTAGTACTTGGTGTATCATGGGAAATATATTGCATGTCACGTACACTACAAGAAAACACGTCCTTTACTAGGACGTGTTTTCCTCGTTATTTCCTAGTAAAGGGCCCTTTACTAGGAAATAGCGAGGAAACGTGTTTCGTCGAAAGACGTTCATCGTAAAGACTATTTTCCTCGTAAAGGCCTAGCTAATTTACGAGGAAAGTTTTCCTCGTAAAGCCGTGGAAAACATTTCCTCGTAAGCTCCACGTACACTTTCCTCGTAAGGGCGTAGTAAAATACTTCCTCGTAAACTCGTAGTAGACACTTTACGAGGAGTTTGCTAGGAAAGTTTACGAGGAATTTACCTCGAAACCTTTACGAGGATTTTACTTCGAAACTATTTTTTCCTATTAAAAAAAAATAATTATAAAGTAAATTATATATATTTAAAAAAATTAAAAAAATAAATAAAAAAATATTTATAAATAACTAATAATATACAATAATAAGTTTTAAAATTCATAATATACAATGAAAAACTAAAAAAAAACTAAAAATGATGCTGGTCTTGATCAAATTGGTTCACGAAGTCGTCTCCAGGGTCGTTGGATGCCTGCTGTGACTGAAATGGTGGAGACTCTTGGGATGGAAGGGCTCCGCTTTCCCGTCTCTGACGCAACACTTCCGCCAGTTGCGGGTTTGTTAGCGCCACAACGTCGAGGACGGCCGTGAGCGTACGCACATGAGACTGCGTCGCCTGCAACTCCGTCTGCGTCGTCTGCAACTCCGTCCGTAGGTGCGCATTGTCATCGGCTTGTTGGTGAACATAAGCCGAT